AGGATCTTGGTCCGGTTCAGCAATTTCTAGGATTAGAAATTTACCGAACAGAAAACAAGTTGGTTTTTTACCAGACCAACCTTATTCTCTCAGTCCTGAAATGCTTTGAAATAGCTAACTGCAATGGCCTAGGAATTCTAATGGAGACAGCACACTAGCATTGACTCAATATCAGTCCAGAGTCAGCAATTTCTCAGCCTGAGACTCTTTCACTATAACAACAGCAGCAGTACCAAGCAATTATTGGTAGTCTCATATATCTTGCCATAGGGACTAGACCAGATTTCAGCTATACTATCTCTGTTCTTAGCAAGTTCAATGTATTTGCAACTATGGAGAACTCGGCAGCTGCTAAGAGAACTCTGCAATATCTACAATACACCCTAAACCTTGGAATCAATTACTATAAAGACACTGGAGATCTGTCAGGCTTCTCGGACTCAGACTGGGCTGGTGGGCTGGTGATATTGATGACCAGAAGTCTACCTCTGGGTTTGTCTTTCTTCTAAGCAAAGGCCCCGTGTTATGGCAAGTATCAAAGCAGAAGATAGTAGCCTTATCAACTACTGAGGCTGAATATGTTACCTGCTGTGAAGCTAGCAAAGAAGCCATTGCACTTCGGCCGGTATATGGAGACTTGACAAAAATTGGTCAAAGGGAGAGTTCTCCCTTTCCATTACTTCCTACAATGATACTTGTTGACAATCAAGGTGCGCTGAAATTAATTCAAAATCCTTGTTTTCATAAACACACCACGCCTATTGAACTCAAGTATCACTATATATGGCAAATCTATAAACAAGGACTTATTACGATTGACTATGCCTTCACCAATCAGATGACAGCCGACATTCCCACCAAACCGCTACCCTTTAGTCTCCACTGGCAGCATGTTAAGGTTTTGGGAATAGATAGATTGGACCTTCAGCTACAAGTCTAAATATGCATACAAAGTTTTCTTTTTCTTACTTTCATATTTCTTGCTACTCATCTACTGTTTGGACTTCAGTGGGAGGATTATACTGGACTTGTATTGGGTTAAGTACTTTTCCCCTAACTCAAACGCTTTTTTCCCTTATTCACGGTTTTGGCTTTGAGCAGGGGTTTAAGGAGGCTACTCAGTATTGTTATTTGACTTCTTCATTTTAGAGAAGTTTTTTTTTCTTTTTCTTTTTATTCGCTTATAGGACATGGAAGGAGTGGGAGTATTGGAACAACCTTCCATATCCTCTAAGATGACCACAGGAAGTACATAAGGCCATGGTGTGGCGGTAGCATGGTAGGAGTAACGCAGCGGCAAGTGAGACTACATGAGGCTGGAAACTGTAACTGGGGTTTTCTTGTATACTTAGTTGGGCACATGCCCACCTCTCTTTCTTTAATCAACCGTCAGTCGTTTCAACAATACAGACCTATGACACTCCGAGTGATTTCCGGTGATGAGCATTTCTCCTCAATCCATCCGTGCCAATCCCATCCGGGTCAAAGAGAACAAACCCCTCTACAAGAAAATGTATCACTCGCACAAGTGCTAGTGCTCTAGTGTGATACGAGTACAAGCAGCTCTAGCTGTAAATTACCTACCGGGACTCACTTCATGAGACCCCTTCCTGGATGGAGGGACGGGCAGTCTAGTCCGCAAGTAAGCAAACGGCGGGTGCGGGGACGTCCGGACTTGTGTTGGGAAAAAAGGGCTTTCCTCTCCCCTTATCCAGCTCTCTAGTTTGGGTAGAGACGAAAGCCACAGTCGGATTCTTCCTTGTTTTAGCAGATAGTGAATAGCAGCAGGTGCTCCTGCGGTGGTTAGTACTAGTGCCTTGATGGTCAAAAGGCACAACCGCAATCATTTCGGTGAAAGTTACAGAGAAATCTGAAACCCCATTATTGACCCAGCAGGAGTATCAGTAGAGTTATGTGATAGCCTAAGTTAGCAATCACCCACACATGTATGATACCACACACGTACCAAGTCAAGTCGAAGCAAGACCAAAATATTGTGGGGCCCTTGCATTGGCCTGTTAGGTTTTAGTGCTCTATAGGGTTGTGCTGCATTACATGTGGTATCATGTTATTATATGCTTGTGTAACCGGGGGGGGGGGAAGCTTCTGACTGGGGGGTTGGGAACATGGGGGAACTGAGTTAAGGAGTCCTGGAGTATTGGGCTTGAACACTTTTTGCGAGAACGGCCCGGAGGTGGTTGAGTGACCGGGGTTGGGTTGGATGGCTCGTTGAAGAGAGGGGAGAAGAAAGAAAGAGAAGGGAGAGAGTGTGTGTACAGTAGCACGGAGAGTTTCTGGGGCGGCAAAGGGCAGGCATTTGGGTGGGAGTTTAGATTGTGGAGGGGAGCGGTCCGAGGACCTGGAGTATGATAATATGGTACCAGGGAGGTAGGGGGTGTATGTATGTGTTATCCCATGATCTTGCAATGCTTGGAGGGAATATACGGTAAGTTAGCAGGAGAGAGTACAAATTTCCCCTTCCCCACCTCCAAATCCGTCCATCCCTCGCCCACCCGATAGCGTAGGATCAGGTGTTTTTTCCACTCCGCAGCTGCAGGTCAATTCATTGCGAAAGTGAAGCCAGGCAAATGAAACAAAAGGACAAGAACGACAATGCAGTACAAATTCATCTCCGCGCTATTGTCACTCCCATCTGCAACTGTGACGGGGCATACCGGTTTCCGGTTCCTGCGACACTGATAACGTACTCAGGGCGCTGAGGCACCTCTCCAGTGAGGCTATTCCATTCTGTAGTAGTTATATCAATGCCCTCATGGTCACTATGAGTACCACTTGTACCACTAGGGCATTCCTAGTTTCCCCCTTCTGATCAATAGGGTTTGGCTTGGCTAATAGTTGGGATCGAATTGTAACTGCCAAGCACCACGACTTCCACACCCTCGTGGTCGGCAAGAGACAGGCAGAGGAAGATTTCGTCTTTGGTCTCCCGATTTCGGCAGACCATCTGGCACGTCGTGATGGCCCGGTACCCCACTTTGCTATCTTACGTCTCGCAGCACCCCCCGAGAGGGTCTCGAGTACTTGCTCTTGCACGACTCTTCCTACCTTGCCTGCTACTGCTACTATTTCCGTCACCGCCGTAATCCTCCCCCACTTCCATGCTCCGACCCTTCCAGCACACTAATTATGGGCGAATAGGCCACCACAGAGACCAAATACTCAACAAGTGGAAACTGCGAAAAAACATACAGCACCTCCGGGAACGACAGCAGCAAAAAAGTCGACCTCCTCAGGGCCAGTTCAGCAAAGGACTGCTACCAAAAGTGCCATGCGAGGACCGATTGCATTGCCAGCGCATACCTCATCGGCTCCCGCCAGCACCCCCTCAGCCGCGAGGCGACCCCCGGGTAGCCGGTCACGCCGATGTGCCCACTTGGTGTGGAGAATTATTACTTTGGAGGGCCTAGGCCCGGGTTGGTATATGAAAGGCCTTGTATTAAGCGCGGTTTAGTTCATCTTCTAAGGGGAGGGGGGAGGGGCTTGAGTGGTGGGTCAATTGGATGAAGGGGAATGTGGAAGATGTGGGGTGGGAGATGGACTTATATATTATCATTAAATTTTGATGATTTATCCGGGTTGTAGTTGGAGGATTGCAATGAAAGGGCTATGTTATCCCCCCAAAATTATGATTCATCTATGAACATACCATTATATATGCTCGCGCGAACAAGTACCCGCACCCGCCCTCATCATCACGGTAGGGGAAAAGGAGGGTGATATTTATGAAATCCGGGTGATGACCGGTGACGTGAAGTGTGGTCCGTGCAGCCATGGATTTTTGTTACGACAGCGGTAGTGTCCGTGCGTGTCCCAGGCGCCTGCAGTGAAATCCGGGGGCGGATTTTCTTTTTTCTTTTTTCTTCTTCTCGTTCCTGTTGCCGTCTCGCTGCTCTGGCAGGGCAGTGCCGGGCATGATAGGGCTTTGGGGATTTCTAGACCGATAAGGAGTCAGGCAAATTACGATATTGATTGGTTAAGAACAGGGATGAAAACAAATGGATAAATAAATAAATAGACTACGATAGCGGTAACGGTCATGGTCATTGTGTCTGGGATTTTTTTGGGGGTCCCCCCCGGCTGGGTTTGTTTTGATTTGATATCATGTTGCAGGTGTGATGTTATGATCCCCGGTATGAGTGAGTAGAATACGGCAGGTACAATGCCACACAGTACTCGAGTATGTAGGGCGTTGCTGCAGCTGGAGATAGAGGGGGTTGTTTATTTGTTTACTCGAGTACTCGAGTATTGACGTTTGGCAGTGTTTTGAATGGCGTTCATGAGATGCGACGTGATGGGTGGGCGGGGTGAGATGAGGGGGGGGGGCCTTATTATCCTATTCTGCGGTGATTGGGGCCTGGTGACTTGATTTACGATAATATTATTATTATGATATTATTATGATATGAGGTTTTGCTATCTTTTTTCACCATTGAGTAAGAGGAGTACTTTTACCGGTATTTTGGCCAAGAGAAGAACTGAGGTTGGCACGCCAAAACTCAATTGAGCCTCGATGGCACTGCTGTGAAGCCAGACACCATTCCACTCAGAAACACGGTACCGGTGTTGTATTGTGAAGGAAAGGGGAAAGGGAAGGTGCTTTACCAATAAGCGGCTTCCTGCTTGGCTGCTTTCCTCATGCCCTGACAACTCTAAAAAGNTGGGCGACTATTTCTAGGCTAGTCCCCTATTTGGCTAGATGTGCCCATCTTCTATCATATCATAACTCACGAATGAACTCTACCACCACAAACCCTCTAACTGAACAACCCCATTCTCCCCCACCACAACAAAGCTCTCCTTTCTCTTCTCCCTCCCCCGCCAACCACAGCCAACCAACCACCACCACCTTTAAACATCCCTCTCGACAAGTAAATCCAATCAATAAATTGCCACCTTTCCCTCCTAGTCACCACAGCACAAAGGGGGAGTTTCAACATCGTCACCACTCCCTTCCTCCTCCTCTCCTACCCATTCGATCGACCAATACAATTGATTCACCCTGCCTCCTCCACTAAATAATCTTCGCAGTGAAAACGCGTTTTCAATGGAGGATTTTCAACAGCGCCGCCGGCGCCCCGCCCTCACATACGGCAAACCGATCAAGAAGCGGTTCCCGGACGCCCCTGGAATTTTCACCACTCCGGACTATGGCTCAGAATCCCCCGAGATCTCGGATGAAGCTCAACAAAACAAAGAAGCGGCAGCAATATCGACATCGACATCGACACCAAGGGCAACAATAACAACAACAATCATTCCTTTGTCACAGGCTACACCGGTCAGAGTGACGAAAGTACAGCAGCAGCGAGAGAAGGGGGAGAAGGAGAAAATGGGGGGATCGGTTCTGGTTGCTGACCCGGTACAGCAAGAGCAGCACCACCCACAGCAGAGAAAGAGCTCTTCGGGAGTGAACGGAAAATCGACTTTTGCAAGGGCTTACCTTAGAAATATTACTCCCCCAGCTCCCCCGACCCAATCTTCCAAGGAACTCGCAGCGAAAAAACTCGATTCCGCAGATATCTTCGATTTCGAGGTTTCCAGTGATGTCGAGGAAGTTCCTGTTATCCCCACGAGGAAAGGTGGTAGTAGGGGGTTGGTGAAGACTAAGAAGAAGCCGGCTATTACTAGGCCTACTGCTGTCGCGGGCTTTGACGTCCCTTCCACCGAGAGCGATATTCCGGAGAGGAAAATTGCCCTTTCGAAGAAGCGCTCTTACAAGAAGGGCGGAGGGGTTACCGTGCCCGAACCGAAGAGAAGGAAGTCGCTCAAGGACTCTGATGAGGAGATGGTCCTATCTGTTGCGAAGGGCAAGGGGGCAATCTCGGCCGCTTTGCCGAAAGGGAAGAAAGATCTCAAGGGGGACAAAATCACTTCAACTGCTAAGGTTACGAAGAATTCTACTGTCTTGAAGGTAACCAAGCACTCCACTTTTGAGGTCTCAATTCCATATACTCTTGATGGGCAACCTTCAGCAAAGCCGACACTCTCCAAGAGCATTGTCAAGTCCGAGGCACAGTTTCTTACAAAGAAGCAGGAACAGGAGAAGAAGTTGAAACCTCTCATTAAACCGAAATCGGCCCCTGATCTTATTGAGAGGAAGTGCGCCCCGCGTGAGAAGGTTCGGGAACCCCTCCCCAAACCTACCGCAGAAAAAGAATCTGCAAAAAAGTCCTGCAAGACCACCCTCAAAACCATTGCAGCTCCACGTGTACAAAAGGCGGTTCCGGCAATGCTACCTGGCCTGAAGGCCATGCATGTTCCCATAGAGCAGCCAGTGCTTGTCCGTGAAAGATCAGTTGGTCCCAACATAAGCGCTCCGGTCGATAAGAAAGTTGGGAAAAAGGGTAAAGCTAAGGCTGCACCCAGGGGAAATAAACGACTTAGTGAAGAGCTTTCCGATGGTGGCGAGTTTGATATTCCCTTAATTGCGGAGCTCCGACCTGTTCGTCGTCGCCGGCTGATTGATACTCTCGGGGGCGATACCCGCGGATCGAGAGCCGGAACGAGGTCAACTTCGGTCACCACTGATTCCAGCGGGGATGGCGATTCTTTTACTCAGGATGCACAGTATCCACAATTCCAACAGCTGTCGGAGTCTCAGAATGGCTCGTCTCAGCTACAGGACTTGTTCCAATTCGGATCCCAGGGCCCAAAACCGCCTACCCTAAAGCCTACTTATACCGCCGGTAGGATTGGGCCTAAGGTTACTTATGCACAGCAGAGATCTTTCAAGGCCGACGAGAATATGTCTGAACAGAATCTATTCGGAATCCCACTCATGATGATGCCGTCTTCATACTCAGGCAGGACGGGTGTCAACTTTGATGAGGGGCTAGAGGAAGAGCCCCTTGCTACTGCTAAAGGGATGATGAAGAATATTCATGAGCTTCGTGAGACGGGCAGCAATAATCGCTTCTTGGACGATGTCGAGGACTTTTTTGGCGATATTGAAGGGAAGAACGTCCCTCTAGGGACTAAACGCTCTGGGTATGATTGCTCTTTACGTCTTATAGAGTTGAGTAAGGCTAATGGTGTTGTTTAGGTATATTGGACTTGCCTGCAAAATGGTTGACAAGACGTTTGTTCGCAACTTTAGAGCCAACAACTTTGATACACGTCTCTTGAAGCGTGTCGCTAAGCAGACTGATGAGGTAGGATTCCTTCTGCTCGAGATTGATCAAGATAGTTGCTGATCTACTCCCTGTTTTTTTATTAGGTCATTTGCTTTACGCTAGCATTTATGATCGCCCGCCTGCTCTGGGAGGATTCTACTGTCCAAGTACTCTCGGAAGTACGCGCCAATGGAGCTCTGGATATGTTGGCCCGCACGCTTGACTTTGAGAGGGATATCAAGGTAGTTTCCAAAGATAAAAAGACAAATATGTCGAAAGCTGCTCAAGGGATGGTTGTGGAGTTGCGCACGCTTGTCGACAAGTCTACGGTTTTTCCTCAGTGCAAGCCGAGAGTCTATTCGGCCCAGATTATGGGATTGATGGTCCTGGAGACGGTTATTAGGAGGCTAAGAGCGACCGGTATACAAGATCGTATCGTATCCTTAGATGTGCTGGGCAAACTTGTCACGATGGTAAAGCCTTTCATTACTCCCACCAAGGCTGGGAAGGCTTTAGATTTGCTCGTCCTCGAGCTCCTTGTTTCTGCTTTGGAAGCTTGGGCGTGTGGGTTAGATGTTGAGATCGAAACCGCGTTTTCAAAAGACGAGCTCGCAACCTTGACTGATATTATTCCCACCATCATATCCCAGGCCGTCACCGGGGATAATGGAAAGTTCCATGTTGGTGACTTTGACGTTAAGGATATCCTCTTGCTCACTCTCAGACTAAACATCAATATGACGAATGATAGAATAGAGGCCTGTGATGCACTTGCCTCCTCCGACCTCATCCCTATCTTGATTGAGTTGATCCGCAGCAGATTTGGTATCCTTGATGGCCAACTCGAGGAGGTCCCGCGTCTGGTTAACTTGGACTTACTCGTCCTTGGCCTTGGTCTCCTAAATAACTTTGCGGAAATGAGCATCCCGGGGAGATGCTCTGTTCTCAGAAAGGGCGAAACCGGCGTCCTCCTGCTCGACATCTTGGTTAGACTGTTTCTTGCCCGATTTTCTAAGACTGAAGACGTATATCCATCCCTTTCCCCACTCATTACAAATTCAACACGCTAACAGCGATACAGGCCGATTCACTGGAAGAATCCCAATCAAATGTTGGCTTCGGATACCTTGCCATCCTCCTCGGCAACCTCTGCCAGGACACCGAAATTCGCATCGCGGTCCGCAACCAGCTTCCTAACAAGAGCCTTAATATCTTGTACGAGTCTATGGAGGTGTTTATCGCGCACCATCGCAAAGTTGACGAGCTCAAGGATGAGAGTGATATCTTTTATCAACTGGGCGAGGCACACTGTGCGTTTACGGAGCGATTGGAGAGGGTTGTTAGGAGGTTAAAAGAAGGGTATTAAATGCGATGGCAAGACGAATAATGGGTGAATGAATTGGGGGTGTATTCCTATCTTGATTTTTCCGTTATGTTTGCTTTTCGGTTCTGCTGTGTTCATTTGGTTCGGAGGGGTCTTGGCGGTGGTCGGCTCTTGTTTTTACAGTTTTTTTACCCCGCTTTGTTTTCATGTATCCCTATCTCAGAGACTGGGTTGTCCTTTTGCATATTTCTTTCATCCATTTCTTTTATGATATCATACATTCATAGTCTTGTGGGGGTTCGGTAGCCCTATGGGTGGGTTTGGTTCGCACCATCTTACGCGTTTACTAGATGCGATATCTTCCCTGACATGTGGGGATGGGCTTTTTTCGCATTATATCTTCTCCCCCGTCCCTTCCTTCTCGTGCCTGCTGGAATTTGTATCATATCAATACCTGTCTTGTCTGCTCTAGTTTACTCCGGTCTTTCTTTTGGCGATTTCTTCTTCATCTTAGCTGGTGGGGAGTCTTTCTTCTCACATTATTACAATCAACTTATGACCTTACCATGCGTGGAACTGTCTTGCCTGTCAGAGACGACATGGCGATCCGGGTTCGGGCGCAGCGGGAATCGATTAGACTGGGGTTTTGCGAACAGGGAAGCAGCGGTAAGGGGGATTGGAGTGGAGCCTATGGCGTTTATTCTTGTTATTCTTTTTATTTTTATTTATTGTGAGGTAACTGTCGGTTTCACTGTATCTTTTGTTCTGGGGGGTATAGATGCGCAAAATCAATTAAAAATTTACTATAGTTATTCGTTAGTTCACGGGGACTTAGGGTATGATATATCTACAGACCACTCGTGTACGATCGACCCTGCACCGGTCCCGCGACGTCCTTGCCGGTTGGCCGACCCCTTGACTTTGAGTTACGGGGCGCGCAGGTGGTGTTTTCCAGCTGTGATGTAGGATACTGGAACGGCGGGATTGACAAGTTAGCTTGTCTTGCTGTACTCGAGTATGGTACGAGTACAGTAATGCCGTTCAAGACGGATGCAGGGTCAACGGTGTTTTAGTTTAATTTGCTTGGATCGTTGCGGGGGTTAGGTTAAAAACCCGGAACATGCAGCCAAAAACAACCAAAAAGCGACGTTGACAAAATTCATCACCTCTCAAAAAGCCTTAGAAATTTGGGAAAAAGGTTACCAGCTAGAACGTCACAGACTAATCGATCGCCTCGGATTTGTGATAAATTACCTTGCTCCATTGATAACGGTACCTCAGCCTTACCAGTGCTTTTGGCTCTATCCGGGCTACAATATTACTCAAGCGAGAAGTACCGTATCCCATTACCGGTACAGTTGACAAGACCAAAAGACAGCCAACCAACCCCAAACGCGCACAGCAGCCAAACTCGAGTGCGAAGGCTTACGGGTACTGTACTGTACCGGTATCATTAACTACTAACACGTGAAGTATAAACAAGCGATTGGCCAATCGATACGAGTACAAATCCGGCTGTGCTACCTTACCACCCAACACCCCACAACACCACACCGTATTCGTGCATTTTGTCGCACAGCAGCTCCGGGCAAGTCAGGTCGAGTCAAGGGACAGAGTGGTTTGGAAAGTTGGATGGTCCGAGCTCAATCAAGTCCGTCGGGGACCGGGAGCGGTAGGATGGGTACCGGTAACTTAAGCTCTTTCTGGTCCGCGATAGGGCCGATGTGTACGATACCGTAGGCTTGTTGCCTGTTCCTGGGGCAGGGGAGGAGAAGGAGGATGGGGCCAGATGGGTGAGGGAGACTTCGGTTTCGCGGGTACTCGGGGTAAGAGTATTTCTGGTTCTGTTACATAAATATTCTTCCCCGTACTTAACTTCACTCTACAATGGTCCAGCTGGGCAGACATAGCCATCACAAATTTTTTTTTTTTTGTTATCGTTCTAGAAGTCAAGAGCAGGGACACAAAAAGTGACAGTTTAGTTATAGATGCAACATCAACTGTAATGCTTATATTTATAGCTTTAGTAATAGGTTTTATTTGGATACAAGAAAAAAAAAGTAAAAATAAAAACAAGTTTAAAGTTACACTACTCAGAATCTGGTAATCTGATAATTTTACTTAAAAAGATGTATGGATACAAGAATGCAAGTATATCAATCAAGTGTAACAGGCACTTGCTATTAGAAGATAAATTCTAAGAGTGTGACTGTACTGGCAAGTCTTCTTTGAAAGTTAATGATAAATAAAAGTCTTGGTATCTCAGTAGTAGAGTTGAAGAATCAAAACAGTAAAACTTAATATTGTTAAGCCTGCAGCTATACTTAGAAAGTTTTTTTTGATTATCAGAGTAGAGGACAACTTGCAAATACTTAAGTAGATTTCATATACTGCGAAAACAATCTATTACTACTTAAACTTTCATGAGTACTAACTTGTTACATATTTCTCTATATAATATTATTATCTAAAGGTTCTCCGTAATAAACTTAACTGCTCCATAGACTTCTCCAGCTTTCCTCAAATTAAAGTACTTTAGCTTTTTCATCTTCAATATAATTATAGAAGTAAAAGCTTATTTCATTATGAATATATTAGTGGAGAAATATTATGCTAGTTAGGAGGTATAGCAAACTAGTTAACTTTCTATTTATATGTATTTCATTACTATACAGCTAGCATAACCTAGTAAATATCTAGCAAGATCTACTCAATTCTATCATATCTTGGTAGTGGACCATATGGCTTTTACAATGGATTTTCAGGCTATTGCAGGTTTAATTTTATGGGTATTATGTACAAGCAAGCTTTAGAATGACGGGTTGTAAAGTGCTATAACCTATACTATTAGAGTTTTTAATAACTCTTTAATAACAACTATAGAATAGTGGTATAGATTTATGGTTACCTTAATAGCTTAGGAGATACTGGTCTGGCCAAAATACCTTCAAATAGATGCAGGTATATAACATGTCATAGTTTGTATCTTAAAAAGTATATTTCTTAGTCTATTCAACAATTTTTAGTAGACTTTAGACTACTTTTGGTTAACTTATCTTACCATTCAGGGAGTTGTGATTCAATATATATGATGTAACTTGAGGGCCATATCCTGAGGCTATTCTAATTCCTCTTTTATATTCTGGCAACAGTTTTTACTCAACTAGACAGGAATGCTATATATAGTATTACAGCAGTGTTGTACTAAGAAATTAAAGTACGAGGAGTGTAACGATCCCTCCTTGGATAGTTAGTTCTTGGCGACGGGGAACGATACTTCTCATTTCTGTCTTCCTCTTCCTTCATCTTACGATAGCTCTAGGCCTCTGCCTACGTTACTGATAGTACAAGAACCTTGTCTTCTATCGGGAACGCCTATCGTAAGCTTTTTCTAACTCTTCTTTGTAAAGCGCTTTCCTTGGTGTAACGATAACGTTGCAATAAAGATAAAGATTGTAAAGGTGTTTTATATTGGTTAAAGTAATAAGTAGGAAAAGTACTTAGAACAAAGCGTGAAGAACCTATCTTCATCTGCCGTATCGGCCTCCTTATATGGTATTCTTCCCGTCCGTAGTCATGTGACCTAAAGTGGTCACATGTGCGAAACCAAATCATAACAAACTAGTGATGTGACCAAAGTGATCACATGCTCAAAACCTATGACCTCATAGCGAGGTCATGTACAAAAACTCATAAACCAATTATAATGCAATAAACAAGTCATATGACTTGACTGAGTCATGTGCGTGAAACCCATGACCTCATAACGAGGTCATGTGCAAAACATAAATCATATGTGCAAGGCTTACCTGCAAGGTACCCTCGCAAGGCATACTCGTCAGGCGCACGTCCCATGACTCATATTTGAGCCATGTGCGAAAGCATCACAAATCCCACACATAACAAATCATATGACCTGAATGAGTCATATGTGTGAAACAATAACATACCTGTGACTCATAACCATGTGTGACATGAAAACCTCTTTTATGCCAAGCCATGTTTGTGACATTAGCTCCCCTCCTAAGCCTGAGTCCCCTCAGGCTTTTTCTTCCAGTTTTAGTAGTTCTCGTCCGGCCGAGCACATGGTCCTTCTCAGCTTGTGGAACTTTTCGTCTGCTGTCCTCCATCTGACTCTTACCCATTCTAGAGTCAGATTCACCATCTCGATTGTGTGCCACTGATTATCGTTCAGCTGTCTTAGCTCCATGATCGTTTTGTTGTTTGCCGAAATTGTAGCCTCGGCTTTGCCAAGTTGTTCTCGGAGTTCCCGGATCTGCCTGTGTAGGCTCCTAACCTCCGGCTCCGTGTCCGCTGAGGAGTTTTGGACCCCTCCCTCCCTGAACTGCGTCCTCGTGGCCCATGCCTTTCTGGCATCTTCTCCTTCCAACTCTTTCCTGCTTCCATCCTTCTGCGGGTAGAATCCCGCAGATATTTTCTGTGCTCTGTGCATCCTGCACCCATTTCTGAAGCATTGTTGCCAATGCTTCAGGACGTGGTCCGGGCGTGGACCACGTTTTTGACATTCCCTTGGGAACCATCTCGAGTCTTCTTTGTCGCCAAAATGTGTTTGGCAACCGTCATCGTAGCAGACCGTCCACGACATAGCATTATGCTGTGTTTGTTGTTCCCTTTCCTTGAGATCTTCGTCGGTCAGCCCCATGAATGAGTATTCGGGGCTGGTAGGTGTAGTTTGGCATGGACTATCGCCCCAGCCCTCGTGTTGTTGTAACAGTGTGGGAGCCTTTCCCTCGCCTTTGTCTTGGTTGAACGTGATCATCACCGGGGCCGGACTTGCTTGGGTATCGCTGCTGGAAGGTTGAGATGACATCTTGTGCGTGTTCAAAGTTGTGTGTGAACTACCAAGTTTTATCATGTTCAGGCGAATATCCTGTCCACTTGGCTCGGTATTGGAGCTGACCGTGGAAGAAGCGGGAATCGACTATTTCGTCCAGCTCGTATTCTTGTTCTCCGTCGAGTTCGCTTGGAGGAGGAGGAATAAGTGTTTGTGAGGGAAACTTGTTGTTATTATGTAGTTCGAG